CCTGACATTTTTAATTTGTGCTTTGTTTGTTTTTAAAGCATTTTTGTGCAATGGAAAGTTTCACAAGCACTTGCAAGAACTTTTTGTTCCTATGGTCATTCGCTACATCGATCTTATGGAATCATCAATTGCCCAGTCCATTCACAGAGGTCTCGAACAAGAGTCATGGCAACCTGTCAAGTAAGTGCTTTCTACAAGATCTGAACAAAGCACCTGCCTATAGCTTTCTGTCTAATCAAGTGTTCTCACCTGTTGTCCTCTAAATATTCTATTTTTTATTGTATTCCTACATTGTTTATTTCTTCACAGGAGCATCAGCACCAGTCTTCCTAATGTAGCTCTTCCAAAAGTTCCAAGTTTGCCTCTTAACCTTCCACAAATGCCTAGCTTTACTACACCAACCTGGATGACTTCTTTGTATGACTCCACGTGTGTATTCTTCAATAACCTTCTGACTGTATGTCAGCTCTGCATGGCCTTGCTAGTGTTCTGTGCAGCTGTATTTGGATTGCATGGTGTTTATGAACTCTTAGTTGGAAATCGTTGTTTCTTGGGAGTGAGCCAAGCATGGACTGTTAGTGAGTTGCGCTTTCCAGTGCATTGAAATGTAACAGTCTTAAACCTGATAACTTACAAAATCAACATGGCAAAGGTCTGTCGTAGTATGAATGGTTTTTAATACCCTAAACAACCTAATGATTCTTCTGAATTAAAAAGCAGTGGGAAACTTTTTGTGTAATTGATTTCAGACCGTGGTTTTGTGAAGTGAGGCAGCCCATCATATTTTTGTGTGGGTTTGATTAAATCATTGTATATAGATATTGGTTCTGTAAATCATGATTGTCATTAGGTTAAATATCCATGTTACAGACAAATAGTAAAAGGTTAATAAGTAGCCAGCATAGAATTACATCCATTTCTTTTTCTGTTTGAAAAAATACATGTTTCTTTTTGATTTCTCCCCAACACTTCGGAGCTCTTTTCTTAAAAAAAAAAGAAAAGAAAAAAAAAATAGAACAGGCATGCCCTGTTCTGTGGGAATATTCTCATAGTTACAGGCCAGACTTCTGTGTGAGGACACATTCATATCCATTAGATAAAGGCTCAAGAAAAACCTTATTTTAGCTAAAGTTATATTAGGAAAGGATGAATGTGAAAGACTTCAAAACACATGCATTCAAGACGCAAAGCTTGATAACATGATTTCAAGCCAAGTATTGCCTTCTCAAGTTCTATGATGGAGTTAAACACTCCTAACAAGCACTCAGATCCATTACTGCAAGAGCTGGTAGTTTGTGCTCTGCCAGAGTTCTGGCACTTGTCTGTTGAGTACGATGATTGCGTTCTCTTGCTAATTCCCCTAAAAGTTGACAAAATTCCTCTTAATCTTTGGCTTTGGTACCTTTTGTGTTTACTATAATAATGCTAGGTTTCTCCTGATGTGCTTATGCAAGTCATTTCAGCTTTGAATACAAACTAATTGGTCGACTGCTACTCAAATTCCTTTCCGTTATTCCCATCCTTTCAACAGTTACTTCCTTTTTTAAAAAGAATAGTTTTCAGAGTTAAGAGCTGTTATAATCTTAGATGTGGTCTTCTTACAGTCTGTATTCCAGTAGCCCCACCCATTAAAAATAACTTGTACGTATTAAAATTCATGTATTTTGAATATTGAATTTATAATTAATATATGATAAATATGGATTCTGTTTGGAGCATTATAGTAGTAGATCTTTCCTAAATTAAGTTTTTGGTGCAGCAATAAATTCCTAGGCTGTATTGTCAAAAACTGCGCAAGTCTAGTGAAATCCAGCCATTGGCTCATCCCCCTTGCACATCTGGTATTGAGGTTCATGGTGTGTATAGCATAGTATGTGTAACGTCGTAATCGGTGAGGTTTTCAAGGCGTTAGGTGAACACTGAGGTTGACGTGCCTGGACGCACTTGCCAGCGGTCACAGCTGTCGCTCTGCTGCTTCTCAAGAGAAGTGGGGCTGAGCAGTGTCCCCACTGCGGCGTGGCCTTTGTAAGGTCATCATCCTTTTTCAGCCGCCTTGCACAGCATTGAGGGAGAGGTCTCCCAGGGCTCCATTGTAGTAACCTTTTCATGTTCTTTTTCCCCAAATGTACAGCTTTGAAGTTGTATTTTATGAAATGTGTACAAATTAACGTGTGAGATTGCAGGTAGTATTAAGTTACCTTTGTAATACTGTGGAATTCAGGTAGTATTTTAGTAATCAGCCTACCTACTGCAGATTACTACTAGTAATCATCCTACTGAAGAGCTAAGTAACTTCTCAGAATGGCCACTTACTGCATTTGGATCAAAAGGTAAAAGCAAAGGAGCTGCAAATCAGTTGTTCCTCCTCCCAGGCTAATGAGTCTCCTCTTTCCTGCTGGTTACAGTGTCTCAGCTTCTGGAGGACGAAGTGGTTTACTTTCACTGTTACATGAAAGAAAGGATGAGTGTTTTAGTTCCCTCTCTTCTACCGTCCCATCCTTTTCAGGAAGAACAAAGTTTCCTCTTTTTAGTTAAATTCTCCAATCAGCAGTAACCAAATACCTAGTCTCCAATACCTGTTAAGCAAAACCCAGGACACCCACCTTAAATGGACTAGAGTGACCTCCTGTATTGTACATAGAGTCAGCAGAGGCACCTAAATTCAGTAGCTCAGGCCCCGCTTTGTCACTCATTGCAGATGGCTCCTTCTCCCCATTGACTCCCCCAAGTCTTTCTCTCCCAGACCACTGTGCTCCCTCTTCCTGGCCCCACAGCTGATGCTTTGGCAAGAAGATGACTACATATGTCACAAAGTTGTGCTAGACTTCTCTGTTTCACTTTGAAAGTGATGGTTTTGGCCAATTAATCATTATCGATTTGAATTACACAATGAAGGATCTACACGCAAAAAGAATGAGAAAAATCAGTCTATGACCCAGCTGAGTTATAGTTAAATGTTTACTGGGAATGCCAAGTCCTGAAGAGATTTTATATTCTCCAAAGATTGCTAATGATCATGTTCCTGCTCTTAAGTTCATGTTGAGCCCATTCATATTTAACAGAGCTGTTATGTGACTATCTAAGAACTTTTGCTGAAGAGAAAGAGATGAAAATATATTCACACTTAGGCATTTTGTTGTGTGCTTTATTGATGAAAATAGATTTTCCCCTCTCACTTAAAACTTACTGCAATTCTTCTGAACATTAATAGAGAAGATTGTTTATATTTTTTAATTAATTGCTTTTTTTTTTCCTTTGATCACATATTTGGGAGTAGTAAATGTGTGCGACTTAGCACTTAGGAAGATCATTACCTCATTTTCAATTGTTTTAGCTTAAACTTTTATTATTGGGCACTGGAAAGGGAGAGATGAAAAAGGGAAAGTGTTACTAGTAGTAGTCTGTTTTTCTTGATTGGTCTCAGGAGAGGACAACTCAGAGGACACCTTGGCTAGACATGCAGAGCACTGTGGATTACTGTTCCATTTGTCTGAAGACAACATCCTTAAAGAGAAAAAAAGTCTCAATATTCTGTAAAAGCTTCTAATCAGCCCGAATGAGGGGGAGGGAATGTCCTTACTTATTCATTAAGTCAAAAGTACTACTTTAAATCGCATTTTTGTTCCATTTCATATTTTAAATTTCATTTCTTTGCCTCTTCTAAACCTGGCTTTTAATTTAGATTTGGGGGTGATTTTAATTGTTTATGGTTTAATTTATATATTATTATTTTCAGTGCAGGCAAGACATAGATTCACTGACCAAAAATGTTGCAGACACAGACTTGAGGTTGTTGGTTGCTATCTGGTGCCAGTCTAGAATACCAGGTTCAGCACAACTCAGGGCCGGGGAAACATGGCATAAGATACACGCTTGCAGAATAGTCCTCTCGTCTTTCAGCCAGAACAGGCAACATCAAAGGGAATGTGTCAGCCGTATTCTTTCTGCTATTGCTTAGCTATCATGAGAGGCCTGGCTGGAGCAGGCACAGTGCCCTGATTGTGACATGAAGAGGCCTGGCCTTGATGTGTCTGAGCTCTCATGCTGGACCTCTCTGTGTGTCTGTGCATGCTGAGGAGGTCAGGAGGCCACGTTTCAGCGCTGTTTTGGGGGATTGCATCTGTAGAACCACATGCGTTCTGGTCACGCTGCTTGCCTCCAGTAAAGTGGTAGGAGGCTGTGGTCTGCGTTTTTAAGGGTGGGTATTTAAGAGTATAGCCATAGGGCTGATGGAATAGCAAAATTTAGCTGGTCTGCCTTCTGTGGAATAAGGAGTTTTGAATATATCTAGTTCCTACTGAGTTTTCTGGAAGATTAATATATATTGTGGGCCAAATCAATTTTATTCCAAAAATACTAACATGCAGGAATAAAGAAGACTGAAGAAACATGTTTAGATTGCTTGATCCTCAGGTTGCCTCACTCTTGAACTAAGTAAGAGAAACCGTGAGGTAACTCTGTCCCTAACATCTTTGAGGGACCATAAACAAGCTCTTACTTGCCAAAGTTCTGCTCCATCCTTCCCTCTCATCTGCTGGTGGAAAACAGAGAGATGGGGCTAAGCACCATTGACTCTGTAATTACTGAAAATCTTTTTCTGTTGAAATTCTCAGTTGACTTTCTGAGCCCTGAATATACATCTTGAGGCAGCATAAGGTAGAGCTGGAGCTCAGAAGCTGATGGGGGATCACAAGGGACATAAAGCTGGTGCCCTGTTTTGCAAAAGAGTCCCCACAAAAACACTGACAGATAGAAACTCAATAATAACCTTTTAAGAAGATAGTTTCAGTAATTTATAAAATCACCGTCATTGTCCTTGGTAAATACTACAAGAAAGGAAGCCAACTGCTTTTGAATCTTGTGGTTGACTGAGAATATCCTTCAATATTTAATATTTCTCCTGTGTTTTCATATCGCAAGCTACTCTATGGAGTTTCACATCTGAGCAAGAAATTACACATCCTTCATCTACTCTGGAGCCATGTGTGTGCTGATCTTGCAGCCAGCGTGCTTTATTAGTGGACTGTTCAACTAATTGCTACTGCTTGGGTAGCTGGCAAGCCTAGTGGGAAGCTGCCTCTCTCAGCTATCAGTGGATAAGTGAATTATTTAGGAGGATGTATGCGGTCCCCAAGTTTAATATTCGGCAGGGTCTTTGAGAAACATTATGTCTTGGACCTTTTTTGCTGTGTTCAGTATGATGCAAGGCATAAAGTTCTAAAATAATTTAGGTTAAAATGGACCTCTGGAGATACCTGGTCCACATTCCTAGTCAAAGTGTGACCAAATACAAAGTTAAATTGTCTTTTTAAAAAAATATGGGAAGAGTACCAGTTCAGTTTCCTGATAGCGCAGTACTATTCAATTCATTAGATTGAAGTAGCATTACCATACATGTTCAAATAACAAATTTTCAGTAGCCAAGAGTATGTCCTGTCCCTTAAAAAAAAAAAAATGCTTCTGGAATTTTGGATGTAGATTTACATGCTTTGATGGTTTGATTTGAATGCAGAAATTCCTGCATCCTGCTGCCAGGAGAAGGTAAAAACTGGGTTTGGGTTTTCTCCATGTAACACTTTATGGAATATTAAACCCTGAAGTGACGTAATCAGCTCCTAGAAAGCAAATCTATATACTGTACAACCACTTCAGGTTATTGAGGTATATGCCGACAATTAATACTATTTCTAATGCTTTTACTGAATAAGGGCCAGGAAAAATCCTAAAATCTAAATAAAACAATTATTTGGTACAAATAGCAGTAACAAGGTAATTGAAATCAGTTTTCTGCAGCATCTGATAAACAAATTAGACGTTTGTGTCTGGATGTATGAACTAGGAACAAATAGTTTCTTTGTAGCACTTAATTTTCCTTCCCCATCTTATTAGTATAATATGTTAGTAAAATTCAAATGTCATCGAACAGTGCTGAATAAAAAATTGAAGAATGGGAGCTCAAAATGATACGAAAAGAGAATGAATGAATTAGTGTTTCTCACAGAATGAATTAGTGGTTCATGAACCTGTGCCTATTATTTCATTTATTATAATTGTGAAACTTTATTTGGTAGTCTAATGAAACCAAATTAAGTGGCTACCGGGGAGTGAACGTGCATAACAATACATTGATGTTATTGAGAGCACATTAGTCCTCCTGAGTCCTAAAGAATTTCATTTGGAATGCCATTAGGTGAAAAACAAAAAACTATGGAAGAATAAAAAATTGCTTAAATTGTATGATTTGGTGATGAAAAATGGTAGTTCTGTTTCTTGAGTAAGTATGGTTTATTTTGTAGAAAATATGTGTTCTTATCCACTGTAATATAGATACTGGGATTGTCTCTGTTTCTGTCCCTGTATAATTTGCTGCCTTCTTTTCCCCAGTCATCTCAAAAATTGACTTAGTATCAAACGTTTATAACGTGGCATTTACAACTTCACTCACTGCCAGTGTACACAGCAGATGTAATGAAATCTTTGATATTTGCTTATCATATAATTTAAGGAACAGTCTAGCAGGATTATAAACTTTCTGAGAAGTTATGGTGGCTTGCAATTTATAGTTCTTAATTAAACTTTGTGGTGTATGAAAGTGCTCTCTACTCAGGTCCAACCTTATCAGGTAACATCCCTATGCAAGTTGTAATTTTAGCAGTCCCGTGGGCCTTTTTCCCATTTATGCTGTTTTCTTTCAGGATCATGGTACAATGAAAAATTGACAGTTGCTGTTTAAGCGGGCAAAATACGCATGACATCAAAAAAGCTTGTCTGAAACTGTGGACTGTTCCCTGTGCGTAGTGATGACATCAAAGTGTACACCATTTAAAACCAAAGGGGAAGGCAGGGTCGGTGGCTTGGTGCCAGCCTTTTCCTTAGGCAGCACGCTGCTCCCAGCTCAGCAGCCACTGCCAGCCCTTGCTGGCTGCCCCCTCCGCCTGGCCCACAGCCCTTCTCAGCACTGAGACAGCATTGCACACGACAGCGATGGCTCTGGCATCGTGGTAGCAGGAACGCAGCAGGGCAGGGGAGCAGTTGGCTGGGTCTGGAAGGAGATGAGGTGCCGTGAGACCAAAGTAGTGCTCCTCCTGCATCCGTGCTGCCGCTTCAGAGCCCTGAACACGTGCTGTGCTTGTGCTTCACTTCACCACCCGCTGTCTCGGCTAACCTAGTGTGAACCGGGGATGGTGCAACTGTCTGGAGTGTGTTTGGTGGTCAGATATTAGAGGTCCTTTCTGTTCTTTTCGTTGGGTTTTTAATCTGACCTTGCTCTGTTCTGAGCACACTCAGCGCTCACCGATCCCTTAACACTTTGATAACTATGGTCTTTTGTCATGAGGCAGAAGTGACATATTTAAACTATCTCGATCTGAATTGGGACTGTCAGACTGGATTTTGTCTGCCTGTGTCACTAAAGTACTGGAATGCCATGCTGCATGATATAACTATCCTTAAACAATAACGCAGGCATTGCAATACAACACATCATGAAAATGTCATTAATTCATGATGACAGTGGAAGTGTAATTGTAGTTACTACTAAGATTAGCCTTAAATTGTTGTATCACAACCATGAAATGTCTTTAAATTTAGCAAATGGTTCAGAGTGGAAGAACTTTAAAACTACATGGACAATCTAAGGTGACCTAGAGCCATATTAATTCCTGGGTTTTTTTGTGCACAAATTTCTTTGAATAGTTTCGATTCTCGTTTTTTCACCAGTATCTGATGTTATTCCCTCAGTTAGAATTAATGAGCATTTTTGAAAGGACTATTTACAATACTACTACTAGCATCCTCATTTCTTTGGTAGGCTTATCTGTCAGAGTTACGAAGGCAAGAAAACATATGTGCGAAGTCTTCAGTGTTTTGAAAAGGTCCTTACTAATTAATAATCTTTGTATGTTTTATTTTTCCTGTCTTGATCTGAAATTTGAGCTACTTCATTTTCCATGTTCCACATCATCCCATCTGCTTCCCTAGCCTCTCATATTTCTCAGCTAACAGATGAGAAAACTTTACTTTTTTCACACTAATGGGAATTATTTTAAATTTTCCATGACCATTTTCACATTCTTGGAATAAGAGCAACTGCACTTTGAGATACGGTGAAGGAGGAAGATGGTGTGATAAGGAAATCTTATGGTGTGATAAGATAATTCTGTGGCAACTGGGACAGACATCCATACATTTATCTTCTGTTTCTTGGGGACATTGTTTTGTTTTGTTTCTTATAGCAATGGCTCAGCTACATCAGAAGATCTTTTCTGGAAACTGGATGCTCTGCAGATGTTTGTTTTTGATCTTCACTGGCCAGAACCAGAATTTGCCCACCATTTAGAGCAGAGACTTAAACTCATGGCCACTGACATGATAGAAGCCTGTGTTAAAAGGTACAGTTGAAATTATTGATTAAAAACTGACATAGGAACAGCCGTAGTGGCTCACAGAGGTACATCTGTACCAAAATCCTGTCATAGGAACCAGGACAACTGTAAAGAGATCATGACTTGTGTGTATTTCCCAGTGTCTGGCAACCAACAGTTTGGCAACATCTAGGAAATACCAAGAAGAATTTCTACATATGTTGTGAATAGACCCTTGGAAGTGAATAAACCAAATCTCTTTTCTATTCCGTGTTTGTGGCAAATAGTAACAAATCTCAGAATTCTGCTAGAAGTAATCCTTTTTGTACACTTCCCTTCTCTATTACTATATTATTATTTATGTTCATTTAACAGTACTACTTAATTTTCATTATTTTGGAGTACTGTCTTTATGAAATATATTAAAAAGTAAAGAGTATTCATCATTTCTGCATTTATACAAGGAACAAAGGAAGGCTATCTGTAAGTCATCCAATGGAAACTAAGTTTTATATTGATATGCCTCTGGAAGTTATAGAAAACATAGTGTTGTTTTTTTCTTGAGTTGTGTCTTAGAATTATGGATATATTCTTTTAAATTAAGCATAGGTGATATAAAAAGATCTCTGCCATATATTTTAGTACATATTGAGTTTAGAAGAAATATCAGTATATCTAGAATGAATCACAGAATCATAGAATGGTTTGGGTTGGAAGAGACCTAAAAGATCATCTAGTTCCAACCCCCTGCCATGGGCAGGGACACCTTCCACTAGACCAGGTTGCTCCAAGCCTCATCCAGCCTGTAGAAAATTTACAGGGATCCTCTATTAGGTGCTTTAGGAGCCATGATCCCATATACAGAGAAAGCTTAGTGGGAAAAAATAAAGTTTGTAGACAATTAAGTAGTGTCAGTGAGAAAATATATGACATTGATAAGGAAGGCTAAATAACATCCAGTAAGGTTAAATCTGATAACATACTATTTTATTATTTTCTGTTAAACATAGTAGGAACAAGGAGAACCTCAGGCTTGGTATATGAGCCTATTGCTAGAGCTACAGTGATGAAATCATAAAGGCAGAAGCATTTCACAAATATTTCTATTTGATTTTGGAAGGGAGATGATAAAGTGAATGGAGTAAAAGTTTAAGATCAGTAGCAAAGGAAGATAGAGACAATATCTACTAAAACTGAAGTCATGTAAGCTTACATCCATCTGTTCTAAAGAATTTGGCATAGAAGTTCAGACAGCTACAAATATCTAACAAATCTTAGAAAAATGGTGGTCTCAAGGGACTGGAAGACTTCAGTGTATCTTAATCTCAAAATACTTAATACTCAAAGTGTATCAGTGTAATCTTAATCTCAAAAACCATAAAAGGAGTAGCACTGAGATGCAGTAGCATGTTGATTATATTGACTTCCAGCCTGGAAAAAAATGTAAAAGTCTTTACTTTGGGACTCTTATCAACAGGACTAAAATACAAATATGTATATAATTAGTACCAATTAAAATAATTTATTGAATAATGAATATTTTCAAATTAATCTTATGTCTTTTTTGAAGTTTATCACAGATTAATGCTGGAGAGGCAATTGTGTTAATATAAATACTTTGATTTCTCCGAGGCAGTAAATCTGATGCCACGTGTTGTCATTATCTAAAACTTTGCAACATCCAGATTTAACTGTGTGCATTTTAATGGCACACAAAAAATAATTTAAAAATGGCTCACTGCCAGGATCCCAACCAGAAGCTGGGAACAGATTTATTAACATAGGGGAATTACAAAAAGAATTCCTTATGGTTGGGGCTTTGGTCTCTGATACCAATCATGACGTATTTGCTGCTTGCTTTTGCAAAGAATAAGATTCTGGTGGCAATATATGAAGGTTTAATTAATATTACGGAATGATCCTAGTGTCAAGACATAAAATGTATTAATCTTTTAGAGTTAATAGACAACATACTAGTGTTAATACACTCAGTATATTTTAGTGTGGTCAAAGATCCTGTACATCAGGTAACAAAGGAAGTACATTATATCTGTAGGATGGATTGTATTATACAGTAGCAACTCAGAAAATAATGATGGAACTATTCTGTTATAACTCTTACTGTGATACTAATATGAACGATAAGACTTTTAAAAATGGAAATAGGATGCTTCTGTTCCACCTTCTTAAAATATTGTCAGTTTCTGGTACCCACATTTAAAAATAGGGGTGGAAATAAAACATTACTTTTATATGTATGTATTCTCAACTATTATTTATTTCAGTGACATTGCTCCTTATTTGCACTGGTGTGAGAAGAAAATAGGTTTTTTGCATTATGTATCTTCTCAGTAATATTCTCTTTCAGAATAAACATTTATATTTGCTTAATAATAAACTCCTTCAATAAAATTATCTTTTCTATTAAAGCTAGAAGACGATTTTTTAATTCAGTTTCTTAGAAGCAAGTATTTGGTATGATAAACCACATTTTAACATAGAAGTGCTGGAAAATGTGGGGTGTTCATTGCTTTAAATTGTTCTTGGTCATCATACAAGGAAACATATTGTTTTCTAGTAGGCAAGAAGATAATACTTCTATTATTCAACTGAATTAGCTGAAGCAGTGCAGAACCTTGAGATTACCATCAATGCAATTGTCTGTTGAATGGGTGGATTTTCTGCACTTACAGAATTTTATTTCTGAGATGTTCTCACGTGCATGTACATTGTTAAGCCAGCATGTTTAGTAAGGTTCATACATTGGTACACTGGTTGTTCAGAATTATCAGAGACTCATATTATGAATTGTGTTTTCATAAACAGAACAAGAATCGCATTTGAACTCAAGCTGCAAAAGACAAACAAATCAACAGACTTGCGTATCCCTTCTTCTCTGTGTACAATGTTTAATGTCTTAGTTGATGCCAAAAAACAAACTGCTAAACTCTGCATACTGGATGGGGGGCAAGAGGTAAGTGGAATTTTGTATGTTTAATTCCTAAGTTCAATTAATTTGAAACATGTCACTGCAGATAGTCCTTAGTAGATTAATTTCAAACTAGCTGAAATGTGTCACATAGCTGTGTTTGTACAGGAGCATGCATAGGCTGCTCCCTTCAAACACCATGCAAGGCACAACCCCTCGTCTTCCACCAGAGAAGATGCAGAGTGCATCTGTAATTTATTTGCTTTGACCTGTGAGTCTGTTGAACATTCAGAGAATTTCTTGACTCACAGCACCTCTGGGAATTTCTCCTGGGTTGGAGCAGAGAAACAGTCCACTTCAGGACTCTTTTTTAACAGTAAAATAGAGCCAAAACCTTGTTCTTCGCATCCAGGTTTTAAATGAGTACAGTTTGGTGTTAAATGGCTTGTATACTCCAGCATTCATGCCTGTATACATGCTGGAAATAGAGGAAATAAAGAATCAGGTAATTTAATGGAATTTTTTATTTGGTCTCCAAGCATAGGGACTGTTTTGGCAGTAGTCTGATGCTCCACAGTGGAGCACTGATGTCCTTTTGAAGGACATGCAGACTTCACTGACTACTGTCCTTCCCACATTGTCACTCGTAGCAGGAATAATCTGTGAAGTCAAAAGGGCATACTACGTAGACTGGTGAGATCACCAGCATAAAATTAAAACTATTCTTGCTGTGCTAATGCATTAGCAGTGTAATTTTGATTGGCTCTAGAGAGAGAGTAAAACCATTTGTCAGAATTTGGCAACAAATGTATGTCTGCTTTGGGCAGTTTCATGTTTGCATACCTGGTCATATAGTTTATGTTGATTTTTCCATTTCTGTACTGTGCTCTTCATTTTATTGACTCATCTTTTTAAGTTAGCGTATTCGATGTAATTGTCTTTTTTTCCCCCCCCCAATTCAATGAGACATTCATCATTTTCCTGTTCTACCCTGTCATCTTTATTTTTGCTTTTGGTTTTCCGTGACTTGAACCAGTTTGCTAGTCAATGGGTAAGTGTCTTCTCATTGTTTTTTAACCTACATTTTTGCTTTGGTTATTAACAGCCACTTTTTATTTCAAATTGTAATATTGCTTTTCCTATTAATTTGTTAGCCTAGACCTTGAAATTCCTTTACAGCCTGACCTTGCTACAGACAGATCATCAGTTTCTCAATTGTTCTTTCCTCTTCCATCCTCTTAAGGTGGTTTCCCGATGAATTCAGTCTTTTCCTTTTCAGACCCAGCGTTCTCTCTTACTGGGTCACAAAATTTTGGACTCTGTCAGCTTTCAGTGAGGCAAAAGAGCAACAAACAACTTGTTTCAGGCTTATCAGAAGTAAATCACAACTTTGCCTTAATTGCCAATTACATAAAATGCTGCCATTTCATCTTTGACTTACTCTCCAAGCACTAACCTGCAAAGACACACATGCACACCCTCTTCTGGGGACCGACAATACCAGTACCTCCATAAAGGCCTGCAGACAAGACGGTATACCCTCGTTCTCCACAGTCACACCGTTCCTCTTGCCTGCTCTGGACAATGCCTCCTACGCTGTCGGCCAGTCCTGCTCAGAGACAAAGTTGAGCATTGATGGTTACCCTTTGGACTACAGACCCTAACCAGATTCTCTTCTGAAATCTTCCCATTCTCCAGATTTTCAAGCTCCATAGTACAGTCTTCACAGTACCAGAACAGAAAACCAGCTCTTGTTCCCTACTAGGTCTGACCATGACCCCAAATGCTTCCAGTGCTTCTTTTCAGTGTAACTTTGACAATTTAGCACATCTGGGATGAAATACAGTCCTCAGGTTAATCTTCATCCCAATTCATCCAATAAACCAAAAGAATCTCAAATTTTTCACATATCAGAAATTATCAGATAATGTGGAAACTTCCTTCTTTCTCATAAACTTCGAATTATTGTCTCTCAGTTTCTTCCATTCCCAAGGCTTTTTTGAGGATTAAGAAAAAATTGGCTTTTCAGTTGCTTGTTGCCGATATCATAGTTATTTTCAACACTTGAAGATTTGTTGGGTTAGATAGTTCTTCAATCTGCCCATCTGTCAAAGCAGGCAGGAGAGCCTCTCATAACATAAACTCCTCTATAGGAGCTCTAGCATTTCCAATTACTCCTACTTAGCCAGTTGCTCTTTAAACCTTTATTTCCCATGTCCTCTTCTATTGCCATTTTAGTTTCATGCATGATCCTCTGTGCCAGTCAAGAAAACCGTTCCATAAGGCCTGAGTTAAAATTCTTTAAAAGGGCTGTTTGTTCACCTAAAACTCAACACTGAATATTTATCTGGCAGTTTCTAGAACGTATTCTGCAAGTGATGGTGTTACTTAATGAGATGGTTAGACTCAAACATCTCCTGGAAAACAGCATTCTTTTTTCATTCCCTGTACAGACATATGAGCAGTTGTGTACTGTTGGAGGCGGGCTTGTGGAAACACGAGACGACTCAATGTGAGCTAGCAGTGTGAATCGTGAATCGTTTATTTCCGGAATTCCGCGTGCTTATATAGTATCGTTAGTGATCCGCCCGCTCAAGTGCCATGCTGGCAATAGCTGATTGATTAGTTCAGTTCACGTGCCTTACTGTGCTTATACTTCCTGTTCCGTGTCACAACCTCTACATCCTGCTATTATATAACTTTCTTAATAACTTCTGCGTCACTCGCCCTAGGCCCACAAGTCAGGGTTGCTCATCTGTGTTGCTTATCTTTACAGCCGGATGTCCAGCCCCTCCCAGCCAATCCTCTGCAGTGTACCTTGTTCAAGTAAAGTCAGATGTGGAAGTTTTCACCCTGAGTTGTCAGGGAGGAGGGAATTCTTACTTTACATGTAACTAGGGCATTCTGGTCGTGGTAAGCAATCATAGCACCTTGAGTTTAGAGTTTAAATTTGATGGAGTCCTCTGGTTTCCCACTGTTACTTCATGCACTGCTCACTATTCTCCCAAATGACTTCCAGTTAAATCCACTCTCATAAAAAGTCACTGTCTGTCATTCAGGATGGCTCTCTTCCTGGCCTTCTGGATAATCATCCTAAAGCTTAAAAGACGCACAGCATGATTTGGCTACAGGCACAGTCATTACATTGTGTTTAAGTGGAGCTCACCTGGCTGGATGCCTTCTGCACTGGCTGGCAGTTGCCTTCAGAGGGTTTGTGAAGCAGGTCCAGGGGAGAATCACCTTATCTCGGAACTGTTGGTGCCTGCAGCCTGATTCATGGACAACCAGAATGGCAGTTCATGGGACAGAGGGAAAAAGCAGCTAAGTAACATCCAGTTGCTGCTATATTCATATCAGCCATCACAGGAATGTAAAGGCACAACTGTCCACAGATTTGTTTGGAAAAGGGGTGAGGATTTGTCTGCTCTCACCAAGCAAGCTTGGCAGAAGTAGAAAAGCTGGTGTCCTACAAGTGTTGATTTCAGGATCCTGCATACAACCTTGTCAGCTTGTACAATTTTATCATTAATTCTACAGTATTTGCTATCTTCTTAAAGCCTTTCTTCTGGAGTCAATCGTATATGATCTTCTACGAGCATCTGAAGTTTTGTTTTGTCAGGGGTGGCCATTTTAGTGGAAGTTGGCATCGGGGAGGAGTGGGTTAAAAAATTTATGATCTCTTGGTTTGCAAAATAAATCTTGAAAAAAATTCAGTTTAACAAAATTCAAAAATTATTTCTAAATAAATAATTTGGAAGTTTGTTGTGATTTTTGAGTAATTTGATTTAGTTCTTGTTTTTCTTGGTCACACAGTGAAGAAAGCAACTGATCTTAGACCATACATAGATCCATTAATTTAATGTGTCGTGGAGGTAAAGTTACAGACTTGTATGTAGGAATATGTATTGTTTTGACATGCAGCTGTGGGAGAATAATTATTTATTGTTTTCAGAGAGTAAGAAACCATTAACTTCTGAAGACTGTGTAAGCAACAGATATCACAGGCAGTGTGGGGTGACCGATCTCCTTAGCAGATCAAGAGAATATTATATTGGTCAAGAAATTAATATGGTTAAAATAAAATATACCTGAAATTGTGCGAAGTTCTTCAATATATTTCTAATATGCACTTTCACTGTTCCAAGGTGTTTGCTGCTGTTTGTCTGAGACGTGTATTCATGTTTTCCAAGTGTTTTTAAGCTTTAAAAGAAATTGAAAGCAAAAATTAACATGCTTGGTGTTGGTAACTGTAGCAGATACATATGTGTGGGCAAACACATCTCACAGTTTTATTCTCTCTAAATTTAAACGTGGGTTTGATAGGTGCGCTGTTTAGAAAATCGTTCCTAAATATGTTAAACAAATCAGATTTAATGTTTTGGCTTGTATGACAACTCTGAGACAGATGAAAAATAGCCTTTAAAAACTTACAACTCTGAACACCATTCAGCTGGCAGCTGCTAAGTTAGGCTAATGTTTATACTGACCTCAGTACTTTTACTCCGAGCATTATGCTGTTAGCTGTTCCAAGTAGCCTTGAACTATGAAGATAGGGTTAGTCTTTACAAGTCACATTTTCTGTGAAGTGGCTATTGGGGACAATCCTCGCTGTCAGATAAATGTTTCTAAAGGAAGAATTACTGTTTAAATTGATGTGCCTCCTTGACAGAATGGGATCCCTAGTTCCCGTTAATTTCAGGAGGGAACTCTGTAGTATTATCTAAAAAGTCTTTCAGATTTATTTTAAAAGCATTTACTTAAAGGCACCTTCTTTATGAAAAAGCAAAAGAAAAGGCTATGGAGAATGAAGTCTGTTTTATTATGCCTTTTATGGCCTATTAATTTCTTACCATCTATTCTGCTTTGTTGATGAAATTTTAATTTTGCCCTTGCTTGAGCATATTGTAAGATTTGTATAAACTGCAGCTCACTGTGCTAACAGAAAGGCTCTTTTAGGATGAACAATTGGAGCTCATTTTATTTGTAGAGGACATTTAAAATAACTTATGAATGAGAGTTGTCAGACATGAAATGCTGTATTAATTAAATCTTATTCTAGTCTTTTTGCTTCTCCAGCTAAACCAACCCTTTAGAAAAAAAATACATGGCCACCTTAATTATATAGGAGAAGACAAAAAGTATCCTTCACATTCCTTCGCCTGAATAAGAATAAGAACTCAATTCATCTAAATAATAACCCCATTAGCTGCTTAACTCAACAGTGTACATGGGAAAATTTTCAACACAGAATGTAAGAAAGTGTTGATTAGGTGGATCGTTTTCAAGAGTTTGTTCTTCTGATGTTCAAAATGATAATTTTAAGTAAATCTGATCTGGCAGGGTTATCAGCTTTGTACCATTTATGACTTATGACAAAACTGTGTGTTCATAAACATGCTAATACTTCTTTATCTTTTGAAATACAGCAACAATACCATTCAAAAATAGATGACTTGGTTGAAGAAACTGTTAAAGAAATCATTTCACTTCTTGTTTCAAAGGTAAAATTACTTAGATTTTCATTTATAATAAAGCAGAAAATATATCTCTATTTAACTTTTGAAATGTCTTTGATATCACACAGTTATTCTATACACAGTGAGACTGGGGGGACAACAACATGATTTGTAAATAACAGTCATGCAAATAACATTGAAATTACAAAATTAAAATCTATAACCCATTAGGTAAATAATTTCTGTGCAACCTGCTAATCAGATAAGTTTTATTCTCTATGTCTGTCACGGAGAACAGCTGCTAGCAGCTAGTAGAACTGTCAGGACTTGATTTTGTCAATATTATCTTAAGTAATAGCATGATTTATTATCTTGACATAATACAGAGACTTGGAGAATAAGTGAAGGAAATTTGAACAATGTCTTGTGTTACTGTAGCACTTTTACTCCAGTAAAATCTTAAGTGCTTGATATAAAAGAAAAGCTTTCGGTCCCTAGTAGTTTGAAGGACACAGCCAGTAATTACAGAAAATAAAAATCTTATAAGAAGTTTTGTTATCTACGCATTGCAAATGATGCAGAAATACCTGATTTTCAAAGTAAGAGAAATAAGCCATACGTTTACAATTTGTGAGTTGGTGACAAAATAAAAGACTCTAGTCATCATGCCTTCATTTTCACTTCACAGCTTGCTGGCAGGAGGTGGGGGGGAGCAGGAATCTCCTTTGGGATTGACACCCACCATACTCGCACAGGAGTTGAAGAGGAAGGCTTTGTAGAATCACTGTAGAAGTTTAAGCAAAATGTGTCCACTTACTGATAAACGTGTAGAACCCACACATTACTAAATTGAGGGTTTGATGTAAATAGAACTACAAATGGTTTAACACAGCAGTTTGGGGTTTTGCATGCTGCCTGTCATCGCTCTGAACCAACCTGGCAGTCTATGATTTCAGTGTTATTGAAGATGAAGAGGAATAAGGGGGAATTTAATCAGAGCAAATCATGCTATTAAAAGTTAAACCTTTTGATTAATTTTTTAATATCTGAGATTATAGAAAAAGGAAGAAAATAGTGATATTCATCCTGGATATACGGTCAAGAAATTCTAGAGACAACTGCTGTCAGTACAGATAGGATTTGCATTATTAGTTAGCACATACACTATTACCAAAGGTTGAAATCTTGGGACAGGAAGCAAATGATTCTATGTCACTGGCTGATTATGAGAAGCTTGACTAGTCTCTCTTCACTTGAGATGTGAAATGCCAATGGCATCCTGATTGCTTGTTTCAAGGCAGAAAGCCTCTGAGGCTACAGAGCAAGGCTGATGCTTCACTCTTGCTTTTGGCCAAGAAAAATGCACATCAATGTGCATGGTATCCATGTGTATTCATTTTTTTAATCACATATATTTTCATTATTTTTTAGCCCTTGCCTCTCTATTATTTCCTTTGTGTTCCAGTGGAGTTTTTCAGTCATTGTTTTTAGCTGCAAGTCACCTATGAAAATGAGAAGAATACTTTAACTTCAGTGAGACTGTGTTTGGTAAAGACTAGACTGAATTTTGTACACAAGATTTACCAAGCTGAAACGTTTAACAAATCACAGAAGTAGCACAAAACGGTGAAACAAAGCACAGTGTGTCTCACAGAGAATGTGAGGTATACCCAGAAATGCTCTTCGATCTTCACATTTCTGTACGCTGAGATCTCAGAAAACAAGTTTCCAGCTTCCTTACTAGCCTTTTGTTTAAATGGACGCCCTTGACACTGCAGTGTTTTGCTCTCTGTTCTTTTGGGTCCCACTTGTATTGGAACCATTTGTTGGCACGGTGGACACCATGTTGTTTGTGAGATCAGCTCTTTCCACAGTGGATCTTTGCACAATAGGATTGACCACCTTTCTCCAGAAAGAATCCTTGCCGGTCAGATAAAATGAGTTAAAGTATGAACAGCAGCTTCTCACAGGCATGCAACAGCAAAGAAGAAAGCTGATATTTGGTCTAATAAAGGGACTGTAATTATAGTGTGCGTGGGGTGCAGAAACAACTACCACTCTCATGGTGTGGGTTTATTCCTTGATTGGCACCTACGTACTGGTGTCTTAATTAATCACTGTAAATATGACAGGTTAGATTGATAAATGACAAATGTAGGTTTGCACTTGCTCCTGCTCCTTGAACTGTTAAGAGCAGGGCTTATTGTAAAGTGATGATCTCAGTTCCTCTGGAGGTGACACTGTTGTGACACTGTTACAGTGCCCATTAACAGCATGCCAGATGGAATTTTGTTCTGTCCTCACACTCATAAAATGATACTCGGTGCTTGTGGGAATGACTGTGTTAGGAACAAGGCATGACTTTTAAAACAATCTTTATATAAACTGGAAAGCAATTCATATGTGTAAAATAAATGTGCATGAACTCAACAGCTGACAGATACTTTATGTTATATCCCATGAACAACTCGAGCAACATAACATCACAGAGGGATGTGAGAAGGGAATTTGTTTGCTTTAAGTATATTTGGGGGAGTTTGAACATTAAGGCTATAATTAATGCAATTAATAAGGGGTTTTTTTGGTCAGAAATAAATTTTGGCAAAAACACCTTATCATGCCATTTGCTGTGGAGTCACGCTACGGAGAGAATGGCAGGTGAAAGTATGGGGGAGAGGAATCCCACCATACCAGAGATCTGGGGCCTACATTTTCTTGCCCTTCCGTGGCCGTGCAGTAGCAGTTCAGCAGCACATGCCATTGCTGTAGATGAGCTGACAGAAAACTGTAGTGCTGTTACACTGTTGGGTGAAACCAGAGCTGTGTTTCTATTCAGTAGCAAAGATAAGTGGGACGTGATACTGAGATCACCACCATTAATGATTGTGCTCCATCATCTTTGAGGCTGTGGTCTTAAAAACTATGGACCTAGAAAATAATGTGTGTTTTCTACCTAAAATACATGCTGGCTACACACACTCCTTTATTTAAACGCGCGCTCTAGAGGCAACAAAGTGTTTTTTTGGGTAGCAGGCCCGCCTCAGGAGAGTTTTTGGGTTGGGCTTCTGTTTTTGTAGCGGTTCAACAAATCGGTTTGATCAATAGGTGAAGCTGAGAAAATTATATTGTCCTTGACTTCAGCACTTTCTGAGGTGGAGAAAGTGATCAAATCTACAGTTTGCATTGCCCTGATGAACACTAAAAATCCAAGGAAGAAAACCTCACATTCTCATTCAAAACATATACTGTTCATATTGTGCGTTTAGGTTTTTCTCTGTGCTTTTCCTCCAGGTTGTTTCAGTGTTAGAAGGTGTGCTGTCTAAATTGTCAAGATACGACGAAGGCACTTTCTTCTCATCGTTAGTTTCATTCACTGTAAGTGTTTGGATTTACAGGGGCTCTGTTCCTCTTTCTGTGCATAATTCTGAAATTGTACACAATCTGCAGTAAGAAGGACTTACTGTGTGTTGTTTTATTTTTAATTCTCTAAAGGTGAAAGCAGCTGCAAAATATGTTGATGTTCCCGTAAGTACAAACCTTTTAATTTCGTTTTTTTTCTAGTATTCATAATAATTCAAAAAATAGGGGTTTTGTTAGCTCACATTTTTTATTGTTGACATTTTGCTTTCCTACAGAGATTCATTATAGCTTTTGCACAGAGTATTTAAACAGCCACTACAACCCTCAGAGGGCATTTCATTTCCCTCAAGAAATGAGTAACTCTCAAAGCAAAGCTTAGAAAGGTTATTTTCAATGCACTTTTTCAGTTGTGGAATAGTGAGGATTGTAACTTAGATACTCTTTTGTAGGGGCCTTTCCATCATTTGACAAAGTTGTTCAAATGTACAGGATAAGCAACAAGTGAAAGCATCATACTTGAATATCCGTTATTTATTGATTTCTTACTTCAGGACCCAATCTTGCTTATCTAATCCCTTACTTGCTAAATCTCTATTTGATTTACCGTTGCTTATGCAATATTTGTGTGGTATAAATAAAAACTAAAAAGTGTAGCTGCTGAAGCTCTTTTATAGATAAAAGCAAAATTCACTATTAGAATATCTTTATTAGATTATCATAGTAGAATATGTTTCTTTAAAAAAACAAGGAAGAAGTTATTAAATATTGTCATTATCACTGTCGATAAATATCCTTTGTTCTCTCAAAAGTTGTTGTTCTCATCCCCGTTTTAATGTGATTCTAAAACAAACTTATTCTCCAAGCATAGGAAGAAAATTACTAAAATTATGATGTTAATAACCTTACAAGAAATAAAATTTCAAATATAGAAGAACGCTGGACATACTAAATTGCATGGTGGCCAGAAATTCTTTTGGCAGTTCTATGCTTTAAAATATAATACTTGCAAGCTTAAATAAATTATTTTTTTTAAGCCATGCATACTGAATAAAAGGAAAAAGCTCTATTTCTGGAATTTGTTATTTTGATATCTTTATTTTTGTTTTATTCATAAGATAAGAAATTGTAGCTTTTTTGTTCGGATGATGTGATTCTATCATTCTATGTTTTCAGAATTTTTTTCTTAGTTGGTTACATGTGGACTTTTTGTTGAACCGTATAAATGCTCTTGCATTTTATTTAAAAAAAAAAAAAAAGTAGGCCAAATCTTACATTCAAAGGAATGACCTCATATCAAATCCAGTTAATTTAGAATACCTCTTGTTAATATATTGTGCTGTGGAGCTGCCCCAAAAGGTCCTTGGTGAGACACGTAAGACTCAAAAGCCTAAGGAAAAAAATACTGTAAAACCAGTACATTGACTTCTTTCAGGTGACGTGAAAAACTCTCCAAATTACATAGAATATCTATGAGAAGGAGATGTCAAAGTCTTTAACAAATGGCCTAGATACGTTGACACTGAAGTTAACAATAAAGATGAGACTGAAAAATACCTTCACCACAAACTCGGGAATACTGTGAGTCAGGCCACACAGGGATGCACAGCTCCAGAGAGAGGGGAAGGCAGGGAGAGAAGGTGGTTCCTGGAGCCCTGTTGCCTTTCTCACATTGACTGGATGGTGTTGCTTGGCCTGAAGAGACAACCAGATTGCAGACTAGCTATCAAGATCCTTGCATCTTTACAGCCCCTTTGCTTTTCACCTATCCCACACACCTTTCCCACGGCCCAAGATGTGAACTGCATTATAGTACTGCCATTGTAAACTACAGGTGTAAACTCTACTTCAGGGAGGCTGTGGATCCGACCAAGCACACATTTTCCAAATTCCACATTTTTCCTGGGTTGAAGGAGTTCGATAGGCTGGGGTTTGCTTCTTCACATTCTTCCTCTTGTTGTGAAGATGCAGTTGAAGCCAAGAAGAGCCGTTCCTGTCACAACTGACAGCGAGTGTCCAGTCTGAATAAGGTCTAATATCACCGGTTGTGGAAGTTACAAATTCTAACTGCAAAAGGAGGCTGTAAGTCATCACATTACAAGGTCATCTCCTGGGCTCACAACTGAAGTGAGAAGTGGAGAGGGGGGCAGCACAGGGTGAGGAATTTACACTGAGCTCTTGGTCATGTGATGGTAACCTAGCAAGCCTGCAATGAAGCTCATTAAATGCCTTGTGTGCCTGTATTTTGAACTGGTATGATTTAAAGTCTCTTCTTACCCCTCCTTACTATATAGCTGCATATATGGAAGTGACTTAACAGTGACCACAGTAGGCCTTTTCTTTTGATATAGCTGCAAATATGTGCAAAACTGCACTTTGTTAGATGACCGTATTCTGCCCCCGTGCCCCACCTCCATTCGAGGATCTTACTGGGTAACCTTAACACAGTCCTCGAGGTCCCTGAAACAGAGCTGTTGATCACTTGGCGGGTCTGGGAGAGAAGGAGGTTCATGGACGCAATAGACCTTTTGGGGTTTTTTTGAGTGTGTGAATTCAACAGCGGTTTTGATCTTTGATTGCCAGGCTCAATATCTGGCAAAAAAATATGGTGTTTCATAGAGAAATAAGAAGAAACTAATGAGACAAAAGAGCTTTTCGAAGAAAGTGAAGGTAGTACTGAGCAGAATGTTTTAGGGAGAAGATGAGAAGTAAAGGTAAATAATAACAATAAAAGATTTTAATATAAGGAGGATGTTCTTGAATGATTCTTGGTCATTTTGAGGGAAAGATTAATTCTATTAATATTGAGAGGGGATTTAGACATTAAATAGTTGGGCATGAAGATGCAGACTCCCTAGAAGTCATCCCTCAACTGCCCAGGGCCAGAGTGGGAAATGCAGATACAGACTTGCAGCTCATTTGGCAGATATGTTTGTGAAAACGTTGCTCTCTACCTGTCCATTCATTAATCTTGTCAGAGAACTATGAATAACTCCATCAAAAAAAAAAAAAAGTTTATAAACTTTTTTTAAAACTTATGTAAAAATATTCAACATAAGCCTTCATTTTTTAGAATGCCCTTTATGAAGTGGGATGTACACAGTGACAAGGAGCTCTCACTGCTTTCCCCAGCCCTTGCATGTAGGGCTATATGGCCACTGTGTATGTTTCTGTAACTGAAACACCAGCAGAAATACTAGGAGCAGTGCAAAATAACCCAGACAAAGAAGAGTAACACCAATGATGGCTTATGATTTCCTAAAAATAATAATGAAAAAAATGCAGTTCCTATTCCGCTTTTTTTGTTGGCAGTTGTCACAGTACTCTAGGCTCTGAAGTGAAAGAAATTGTGGCTGCTGTGCACATGAAAGAAACCAAATGTTTGGAGTAAAATAACACAAACATTACAAATATAAGTAGTGCATGAACGTGTTCTCTTGTTAATGATATGTTTTGATATTTGGGAATTCAGGAGCTGATTTAGGTTACTATTTTTAAAAAAAAAAAAAAAGCTCACCCAAATCCACTGTAACTGTTTTGTTAGTTTCCCTTAAAGCCCAAACAATCTGTAGGGGATGTAGAAGTACAACCTGTCTAATTTTTTTTTAATTTCTTTTAATACTCTGTTCACAAAGCCAGTTAATTAATGAGAATAGGGAATCAATGCAGTAGAATTGAGGGCAAAATCCGCATATAGTTAATCTCAAATTATTATTATTCTTCAATCATGTAGATAATTTCATTGTGTTCAGTTTCTCATCGTGTAAGTCAGTTTTGCACACAAATAATTGTGTCTCTGGCTGGTCATTTCTACACACATTTGCCTCATTTACAAATACAACCAGAGCAATTACTCATACAAATTGAGCATCCAGTTACATGCATATTTATATACTGCTTTTTGTTCAGAAAGGTATGTTTAAATCCCTTTGTAGGAGCCAGTAATCTATGCCAGTCATTTGGAGGGCACAGAAGGAACCTAATCCTCCCTCGCTTCATGTAGGCCACCTGTCATACCAAGTGCAGAGAGGCCATGTGAAGGACCCAGGGCCGACAGCAGTGCACAGCTCGCACAATGCCAGGCCCCTCGCTCCGCTCTTGCCTTTATGCGGGGATCAAAGGTATGAAAAGAGGCCTCACACATGTGCCACCATTTGACTTACGGGGTCCTGTAGAGGCCAAAGTAGGAACTCGGCCTCCTACCAGGCAGATACACATTGGGACCTTCCAGATACCTCCATTTCCAAATATCACACTTGTATTGCGGGGCCTCATTTAGCTGGTTTTAAGAAACAAGTGATTTTTTTCTGAGAAATCGGTTTATTCAGGTGTGGCCATAGTGTGCCATTCATTTCTAAGCTGGATTTACTTGGAGACCTCTGTTTAAAAATAAAGAGCACAGAACAGTCCTTATCCTTATGCTCAGGACTTCTCCTGCCTTCCTCCTCCTCTATGTACCCCAACCTGGGAACTGGCCCTTCTGTTTTCAGATCCGTAAAAACAAGCTATTGCAGAATTGGAGGGAAAGCCCTGCATCATTTGTTTTAAGTTAGCAGTGGTTTTGACCTCCCCCTTAAATGGAGATCAGAAGGATGGCTGCTATTCAGTAAGAAAGTTAAAATAACATAGTTATTTTAGGGGGGGAAAACCATATTTTAATACCTGATTTTTTCATAGTAGCTGTAGCATTTTGAAGACCTTTTGCACTACAGAATCGGGATCCTGGTGCAAACACTTGCACACCTGTGTTGCCTCATGAATGCAATGAAACTGCACGGACATGAAAAAGTCTTTGCATAAATACAGAATCACAGCTTAAGTTCTGCATGACAGATCTCTAAATACATATTTAACCTTTGCTACTGTTGCTTTTTCATCTGCAAGAAGGTGTATCAGAGGCAGGGAAAATGCACTGTATTTTTTCATTTAAGCAAAATATTATTTTTCATAAGCATGTAGTATAAAATGTTAACATTATGTTATACAAATGATGCATTTTTCTGCCTGGCTTATGTCTTTTGATTTGTAAGAAATGAAGGGAGCAAGGATCTTGTCCTAAGTAGTTTGTATTCCAAAAATATTTTAATGATCTTTTAATTCTGTCATTCCAAAGCCCAAGAGATGAGTCTTGCAGTATTTAGAGGAGAAATTTCAGGCAGTGAAATTTTCCAATGTGCTCTTTCATTTGGTTGTGGACACTGAATAAGGAGCTCCTGCGTTCCTCACAATAGCCCCCTCCAGCTCATCACTCCTTTTCATTTCATTGTTACATCCGCGCTGTAGTTAAAATGTCTCCCTCCAGGATGCAGGGGAGGGGAAGGGGGTGGAGAGGAGAGCAAACACAAAATGGGATGGAGTGTTTTTATTATATTGTTAGTCTCTAACATCTGTTTTCATCTTTGAAACATTTATGCTTTCACAGGATAACAACTCGGTAAAAATAGGGTTTTTTTTTTCTTGGTAATCTCAGGAATACGTTTGTTTAATACGCTCTGATGCTAAGAACTGTTCTGCAACAAATGCTGAAGTGAGAATAAATCTGAAGTATGTACGAATGTACATGGGGTTTATGACTATTTGTGACAAACTGTGATTTGTAACAAACTGTTGCATCGCAAAAAGCTGTGCAGAAACTTTGGTGTATCTCCCCTGTAGGGGAAGCCTAATACTAGTGGCAGTATTAAGCTTGTTGCAAACCCTTCAGCAGCAAAATATTTGAACACCTAGAAATCAAGGCAGTGCAGCATTACTTTGGACTAGGTGCCTCAGGAAGAGGCACCTCATTTTGCCGCTTCTACATCATCTTGGAAAGTAGAATAATGTATTTCAAAATTCACCTCCTTGTTAAATAGACACTATGATAGTGTTCTCCTGTTTAAAGGGGGAAAGTTAAGCTGTTTCTTCTTTATCTGAATCTGTTGCTGTGAAAAAGTGTCTGTCAATCTGGACCCACCTACCAGTGAATGGTAAAAGAGACAACCGGCACCTGTGGGATTAGGTGCAGCAGCAGGAAGTAAGCACTTGCAGTATATAATTAACAAGGATTTTTTTTTTTTTCCCCCAAACAGCATGTTCATCTTGCCAGGTTAACTAGTGATTAACCCTAAAAAAGAATGTGCTGAAGCCTACACCCTTGTTTAAACTCATTCACTCGCCAGTGTATTCAGTTACTTGTGTAACCAGCGACAAAGTAACCCTATTTACAACTCTTCATTTCCTGGTATTTTATTTGATGTCTTTGTGTTTCCAGTTTCTTCATTCATCTCTTTGTTTGGTTCTCTTTCATTTTCAGATAGGCAAAACATCTTGTCTGCTGTTCTGAATAAAACAAACCTACAATAACTTTTTATCTATCATAAAAAAACACTTTTTTTTCTTGGGGAAGTTTTCAGACAGAATAGCTTTTTTAACTCTTCTCTGGATAAATATACCAGGTTAAATTCATCTCCCAAAGATCTACAGATAACTCTTTACCATT